TGTGCAAGTGCCAGGACCGCTGTGAGAGCGAACCCGGCTTCACCTGCGCCTCCGACGGCCTCACGTACTTCAACCGCTGCTACATGGACGCGGAGGCCTGCGCTCAGGGCGTCGCTCTCGCCGAGGTCACCTGCCGCTTCCACCTGAACGCCCACCCTCTCACCACGGCTCAACCCACGCCCACCGCCCCCGACGCCGAGCCGCTCCCGCCCGCGCTCTACTCCAGCCCGCAGCAGCAGGTCGTTTACCAGGGCGGCACGGCTAGCTTCCACTGCGACGTGATCGGACACCCGAAGCCACACGTCACCTGGGAGAAGCAGACCGAAGCGCACGAGCGGATCGTGATGCGGCCGGACCAGATGTACGGGAACGTCGTCATAACCAACATCGCTCAGCTGGTGGTGTACAACGCACAGATGTGGGACACGGGGATCTACACCTGTATCGCGCGGAGCTCCTCAGGAGCGCTACGAGCCGATTACCCGCTCTCCGTCGTTAGGCGTGACACTGGGGAGTTCTTCGACGATGCTGAGGCGGGTTTGCCGTTGGGACGCCCGTTCTCGCCGGCCGACTGCGTGGCGGATGTGGAGCGCGGCGAGTGCGGAGAGAAGCGCGTCGACTGGTTCTACGACGCGGCCCGCGGGGAGTGCCATGCGTTTGCGCACGGAGGCTGCGAGGGCGGCCGGAACCGCTTCGAGACGTTCGAGGAGTGCCGCGCGTCGTGCCAGCGCTCAGGGCTAGCCGTGTGCTCGCTGCCCGCCGTCCAGGGCCCCTGTAAGCACTGGGAGGCTCGCTGGGCCTACAACCGCCTCGTGAAGCAGTGCACGCCGTTCGTCTACGGCGGCTGCCGCGGAAACAAGAACAACTTCCGCACGCGCGACGAATGCGACGCCGAGTGTCCGCAGCCCAAGCGGCGTCTGTGTAAAAGCTGCCGGCCGAGAGGAAAGATGTTTGCGAGTCTTTGCCGCAGTGACTTCGCCATCGTGGGGCGGCTCACCGAGCTAATCGAGGAGCTGGACTCGGGCATCGCGCGCTTCCACCTGCAGCAGGTCCTGCGGGACGAGAAGATGGGCCTGGAGGTCTTCCGAGCGCAACACCTGGAGGTGCTGCTGACCCGCATGGACTGGAGCTGCCCCTGCCCCAACATCACACAGCACCAGCAGCGCCCCCTGCTGGTCATGGGCGAGGTGCGCGACGGCACGGCGCTGGTGCTGCCACACAGCTACGTCAGACCCGTGTCCCAGCGGCGCCTGGAGAAGATCCGCCAGCTCCTGGCCAGGAACACTTGTGAGGTGCTGCCGAGATCCCAGGACGGGTCTGCTGGGGCCGGTGCTAGTCTTACCAGTTAGCCATCAAGACTGTTCATATCTTTTTCAAGTCAGATACATAAAAACGTAGAGTGATTTAATTTGATTTCCGAAAAGTCAAGTCAACTCAGCTTTATTTATACAGCGCTTTTTACAATACAGATTGAAAGCAGCTTTACAGAGATAACAGGAAAATAATACAACTAAGTTTGTTTCCAGAAGAGAATAGCGTCACAGTCCAGCTTAAGTCAGTTCAGTGATGCTTCAGTTTTGTTGTAAAAAAAAGTTATTAATTTAATTAATTTATACAGCTCTGGAGAAACCGTGATGTCACACGTACAAGTTCTCAAGACACAGTGTTAACATAATGGCTATGTCAATGCAACCGGGCCCTGGAGGTGTAGCATGGTCTGGATTCAGTTGGAGGACACACACACACACACACACACACACACACACACACTACACATACCTCCGGCTAGACACGACGACAGCGCAGTCCTGAAGTGTCACTAGTCTCTCCCTGTGAAGGCCTCCTCCTTCTCCTCTGTACAGATACACTCTATCAAAATAATTCCACGAAAACGACAATAATTCTGTATTACGCTGTATTACGTAATAATTATGTCACTTGCCTGCGCACATATATATTCAAACACCTCAAGACTAAACACGTAATACGCATGTGCGCCGTCAGCGCTTCACAGATTTACAGTTTACACAGAGATGATCACGTCTTGCCCCTTGACCCGGTTTCAGAGTGTGTGTTCTGGAGCTCGAACACTGCTGTGTGTGAACGAGCGATCTTTACAACGGAACTGAATCAATCAGAACTAACTTTATCTGGATAATAACTTTATTCTAGAGCTGCTGTAAAGCCAGAACACTCTCTGCTACTGTAATCTCCTGTTATCTGTAAAGCTGCTGTGAACAGTGATATTCAGTGAATAGAGAATACGACTGCAGACGACACACAGCGCTGGAGTCAGACCGACCCCTGTTATAACACACAGCGCTGGAGTCAGACCGACCCCTGTTATAACACACAGCGCTGGAGTCAGACCGACCCCTGTTATAACACACAGCGCTGGAGTCAGACCGACCCCTGTTATAACACACAGCGCTGGAGTCAGACCGACCCCTGTTATAACACACAGCGCTGGAGTCAGACCGACCCCTGTTATAACACACAGCGCTGGAGTCAGACCGACCCCTGTTATAACACACAGCGCTGGAGTCAGACCGACCCCTGTTATAACACACAGCGCTGGAGTCAGACCGACCCCTGTTATAACACACAGCGCTGGAGTCAGACCGACCCCTGTTATAACACACAGCGCTGGAGTCAGACCGACCCCTGTTATAACACACAGCGCTGGAGTCAGACCGACCCCTGTTATAACACACAGCGCTGGAGTCAGACCGACCCCTGTTATAACACACAGCGCTGGAGTCAGACCGACCCCTGTTATAACACACAGCGCTGGAGTCAGACCGACCCCTGTTATAACACACAGCGCTGGAGTCAGACCGACCCCTGTTATAACACACAGCGCTGGAGTCAGACCGACCCCTGTTATAACACACAGCGCTGGAGTCAGACCGACCCCTGTTATAACACACAGCGCTGGAGTCAGACCGACCCCTGTTATAACACACAGCGCTGGAGTCAGACCGACCCCTGTTATAACACACAGCGCTGGAGTCAGACCGACCCCTGTTATAACACACAGCGCTGGAGTCAGACCGACCCCTGTTATAACACACAGCGCTGGAGTCAGACCGACCCCTGTTATAACACACAGCGCTGGAGTCAGACCGACCCCTGTTATAACACACAGCGCTGGAGTCAGACCGACCCCTGTTATAACACACAGCGCTGGAGTCAGACCGACCCCTGTTATAACACACAGCGCTGGAGTCAGACCGACCCCTGTTATAACACACAGCGCTGGAGTCAGACCGACCCCTGTTATGACACACAGCGCTGGAGTCAGACCGACCCCTGTTATAACACACAGCGCTGGAGTCAGACCGACCCCTGTTATAACACACAGCGCTGGAGTCAGACCGACCCCTGTTATAACACACAGCGCTGGAGTCAGACCGACCCCTGTTATAACACACAGCGCTGGAGTCAGACCGACCCCTGTTATAACACACAGCGCTGGAGTCAGACCGACCCCTGTTATAACACACAGCGCTGGAGTCAGACCGACCCCTGTTATAACACACAGCGCTGGAGTCAGACCGACCCCTGTTATAACACACAGCGCTGGAGTCAGACCGACCCCTGTTATAACACACAGCGCTGGAGTCAGACCGACCCCTGTTATAACACACAGCGCTGGAGTCAGACCGACCCCTGTTATAACACACAGCGCTGGAGTCAGACCGACCCCTGTTATAACACACAGCGCTGGAGTCAGACCGACCCCTGTTATAACACACAGCGCTGGAGTCAGACCGACCCCTGTTATAACACACAGCGCTGGAGTCAGACCGACCCCTGTTATAACACACAGCGCTGGAGTCAGACCGACCCCTGTTATAACACACAGCGCTGGAGTCAGACCGACCCCTGTTATAACACACAGCGCTGGAGTCAGACCGACCCCTGTTATAACACACAGCGCTGGAGTCAGACCGACCCCTGTTATGACACACAGCGCTGGAGTCAGACCGACCCCTGTTATAACACTAGTAATGCGCTTATAAAGCCTCATAGGAGCTTCATCTCATCACCCAAAGAAGAAGTCTTACGGGGAGTCAGTGATGACAGAACACAGTCACAGTCCCTTAAATATGGCTTTTATTTATTGTTTTTCCCCTGTTGCATATTTCTTATAATTAGTTTACTCAATTCTATAATTAATAATGTTTAAAGGAATGAAAATGTTATTCTACAGGAAAAGTGGCACCCAAGAGAAAGAAAAGTTTATTTTTCTTCAATAAAAATGTTTAATGTAACTTCACGGTTGATATAGTGGCTCGTTTGTTTGTGTATTTCTTCATTTCTATGTGCTTTATACAAACGTATCTGCTAAACAAGTTACTGTACATGATGTACATGTTTCTATTTTACTAGATTAGGAGTCAACAGCAGCATCATAAGCTGATAATAATGTCAGATTACTGGAGACACAAACATTATTGGCTAAAGCGTTCAGAAGTAGCATTCCCATAATGTGGGAAGAATTATAAAAAGTGTTCCCTTAATGTTTGCTTAACTAGGAAAAAGTGTTCAGGGAAGATCCAGAAATAATGTTTTCATTATGGGAACATTAGCACAATGTTCTTAAACATGTTTTTGTTGTTGTTACCTTTTCTTGCCCCTTGTATGTGTGTGTATTAAGGTTTGTGTGGATCTTAGTTGCACAACATACATGTTTGAGAGCTTGCTAAATGACATCCGTGTGTGTGTGTGTGTGTGTGTGTGTGTGTGTGTGTGTGTGTGTGTGTGTGTGAGAGAGTGTGTGTGTGTGAGAGAGAGAGAGTGTGTGTGTTAACTACACCCTTCCTGTGATGTGCACTTGTTCTCATGATCTTCAGTTCAGATGTGTTTCTCAGTGATGAGTACGGTTGCAAACACCATGACTTCAGTGTTGCTGTTCGACCTGTGAGAAACACACACACACACACACACACACACACACACACGCCCTGCGCGGGTGAGAAACACCGTGTTAATGAGGAAATGAGAGTCATGAAGAAACGAACAGGAAGAAGTGTGTCACAGACAGGCAGCGATGGAGACGCTCAGCTGGATTCTGCTCATGTGGGGTAAGACACACACACACACACACACACACACACACACACACACTTCATCATTTAGCACACACTGATACAAATGTACATATATTACCATACATTAAATATATCATTTGCTCAGTTTCCCTTGTTTTTGCATTTGCATTAGTCTGTAATCTTATAATGAACTTCATCAACAACACACGGCTGATGTGTTCATTTAGATCAGCGAGTGTGTGTTTGTGTGAGTGTGTGTGAGAGACGTGTGTTTGTGTGAGTGTGTGTGAGAGACGTGTGTTTGTGTGAGTGTGTGTGAGAGACGTGTGTTTGTGTGAGTGTGTGTGAGAGACGTGTGTTTGTGTGAGTGTGTGTGAGAGACGTGTGTTTGTGTGAGTGTGTGTGAGCAGGGGCGTCATGCAAGCCAAAATTCTGGGGGGGCACAATCTGAGACGTTGCAATTGTTTTCTGACGGGTGATATGGATCATGTTAGGACGGGTTAGGGGGTTTCTCCCCCTGAACATTTTTAAATTCTGGCTGCTAAACATACCATTTCAATGCAGTTTGGGAGGGACAGAAATACCTTAACGGAGCTAGCAGCAACCCTCCTCTATCTGAGGACTAAGTTAAAGTGTCTATTTTGTAAGACAGGTTGATGAAAGAACTGTAAGCTCAAATTCAAAAGCTTTTAAAGTCTACTTCATTAAAGCATGTTTACACACACACTTACTGGACACTTATGCCTACACATGATTTTAAAAACAGTATCATTGCAGTTTTTATGTTATGATTTTAAATTGGTATGTGACCTAAGAACGATCTTACATTAAAGGTATGATAAAGGTGCTGAGGTCTGACTTTGTGGTGCTCTGAAATTAAGTTATTTTAACATTAATGTGATGAAGGACTTTGAAAGAAGTTTGACAGATGTCAGTGCTGAATAAGATTAACACTACCCCGTTTATTTGAATCAGATAACGTTACTATGGCTTATTGGCTTTGTATGTTTACGGTTAGACTAGGCTAGCTATCGATAACGTTACACTGACACAACTTAAGTTAATGCTCTGAATTCGCAGCTAATATCAAATCCATAACTTTTTGATCAAGTAAAAATTTCCAGGTCAACCACAAATAATCCCACTACCTTTTAATATCATCCGATAACTAATTCAATGCCGATTTGTTGCTTTGCCCACTAACCACTTCAAGACCATCTGTAAAACATTGCCAGCTCAACGTGCGAGTTGCTTGAACATACACAGCAAAGATTCTAGAGCGCATCACGCGTAGCGCTCTTTGATATACACAGACACCATATTAGGAAAAAGTGGCGGGCTGATGCTGACCGATTTATTACACATCCAGAAGAATACATTTGAGTCGTTATAGGCTCTGGTAATTATGGAGCATAATAGGAATAAAGTTGTGACAAAAAAATTATCAGGGAGGAAAAATCTGAGGGGGCACGTCTGTGCCCCGTCACTTTGAGTGGGCATGACGCCACTGTGTGTGAGAGACGTGCGTTTGTGGAATGCTTGCTTTAAATTTATGTTAACTTTTACATTATGCTGAGGTGATGTGTGTGTGTGTGTGTGTGTGTGTGTGTGTGTGTGTGTGTGTGTGTTGGGAACAGGGTGTGGTGGTTTTGTGGTGTGGCTATACATATATTGACAGGAACTCAAATGTGTACTTGCGCGCACACACACACACACACACACACACACACTGCTCTTTTCTCCTGATGTTGCTGCACATTGATGGTAGTGATTCTTTAATTTAATGTTAGATAAATTATGCCTATATCTGTCTCTCTCTCTGCCTGTCTGTCTGTGTGTGTGTGTGTGTGTGTCTCTCTCTCTCTGTCTGTGTGTGTGTGTGTGTCTCTCTCTTTGTCTGTGTGTCTGTCTGTCTCTCTGTCTGTGTGTGTGTGTCTCTCTGTCTGTGTGTGTGTGTGCGTGTGTGTGTGTGTGTGTGTGTCTTACCCCACACGAGCAGAATCCAGCTGAGCGTCTCCATCGCTGCCTGTCTGTGACACACTTTACTTGACAGCGGTTATCATACCAGAGAGAGAGAGAGAGAGTCAAGTCAAGTCATCTTCATTTATATAGCGCTTTTAACAATGTGGATTGTTTCAAAGCAGCTTTACAGAGATAAACATACAATTTACGGTAACAGAGATTGTTTTGGCTTTATAGCGATTTTTGAATAATGTTATTTCCAGCTAATGTTAGTTTTGATTGATTCTCTTCCAGCAAAATGATCATTTGTTATTACATTAGGGGCCACTAAGACGACGGCGTTCTCTCTAAACAGACTTTAAACTGAACCTGTGACCTGATGGCGTTCACATGCGCATTCAAAATTGATTCTATAGTTAAATTCGTTTGAATATGTGTGCGCAGGTTTGTAATTTCCCTACAAACCCTGCCTAAACAAACT